TTCTGTAATGCAAATGTCAACCTAAGTCCCAAAGTCTTAGCACTGTTTCACAGGTTTTATTCCAGGTTTGCCGTGTAGTTATGCCCATCTACCTTCCCCACAGCTCTGACCATCTTCTCTCTTCCTGATGAGTAGCAGCATCTCCCCCTTAATGTTTCACAGCAGATTCACTGAGATAGTTTCAACAAATGTCAAACCAGAGCTTCGTTATTCACACTGTGTCCCCTGCAAGGTTATAATGGTGAACTAAAACTATCAAAGTAACAAAAACTAAAATTAAAAAAACATTTTCATTAACTGAAATTAAAATAAGTAGACTGTGCAAAAAACAGAAGCTAAGAAGTGTTTACAAACAAAATTAAAAGGAACTGAATTTCTAGAGAACATGTGCTTACTTTTCATTTGTTTCTTTGTCATAATGCATTATTATGAGTTCTAGTTTCCGGTTGCTTTCTCCACTGTTCCACATCACACCAGCAGATGGCAGATATGGCTGTCGGGTCGTTTGTGGCACTGCTGCAGTCGATCCCTATTTTAGATTTTATTTTTATGATCTATTTTTTTCTGTCTTGCTGTTTTACATAAAATATTAAAACTCTATCTGAAAGTAATAAAAAAAATAACTGAAACTAAGCATTTTCAAAAAAAATAAACCAAACTAGCTAACAGATTCTAAAAAATTAAAACTGAAATAGAAATTAAAATCAGAAGTCGAAACTAAAAAATAAAACAAAACTTTCCAGACTGCAGAGGTTTTAGCAAACTGCAAGCAGGACTTTGTTTTTTTTAACTGCAGCCTTTTTCCTGAAGTAATGATTAACGGCTGCTTTCCACCTGAGCTATTAACTTCTGCAGCTCCTCTGGAGTCGCAGGAGCCCTCTCCTCTTGGTTTAACTTGTAGCAGTTTGCATCTGTGCCAGATTCTTTCCATTTTCAGCTTATGGGTTTAGCATTGGCCTTTAAGTCGATCAAAGCCTGTAATGTTTTTCTAACAAGAGGCGTCATCCCTGATGACGATGATGCTTCTCGATTTATAGAGTAATAAATTGTTAAAGAAGTTCCTCTTATTGGCGGTTAGATTTCTTCTAAAGGGGATTGGTTGCCTTAGATTCTATTGATGCTTCCAAGCTAAAGGTTTCAGATGGATGGGCAAACCTTTAAGATGTTGCTGAAAAACCAAGCATTATATCAATTTGTCAAAGGAGTAAAAACTGCTTTATTGCTCAATAACTGTGGTGTTGTTTTAGGCCAAAAGGACGTTGAAGGCTCAGAAGCTTCAGGATGAGTTGGCTTCCGGGAAGTTGGACCAAAGTGTAAGTGACCCGCCTGCTGACGGACTAGAGTTTGTCTTCAAACATGGAAAATTACAAATGGCTTTCTGTGTTCTCCACACAGCAACGTGAATATGACAGCGAAGACGAGGATGAGGACAAATATGCAGATGACATCGACATGCCGGGTCAGAACTTTGACTCCAAGAGACGCATCACAGTCAGGAATCTGCGTATCCGAGAAGACACGGCTAAAGTAAGAAGGAAGTGCTGAAGGAGAGCTGATATTTCCGTCCCACTGACGGCGTCCTGTACTGATAGGAGCCTTTTCTTGGCTTTACCCTCCTTTCTAATTGAGCGATGAAGCTCTGATCTGATGGAATTCAATTAACTAAACTTTGTGTCTCTTGCAGTACTTGAGAAACCTGGATCCAAATTCGGCATACTACGATCCAAAAACCCGAGCGATGAGGGAGAACCCGTACTCCAACACTGGCATGAACCCTGATGAGTAAGTTTTGGTTTCTGCTTTCTGAAAGAAATGTCTTTTTTCAGACTTACGCTGAGATGATGTCAAACTGCTCGGTCCTACAGGGTGGGTTACGCAGGAGACAACTTCGCTCGCTACACCGGAGCCACAATCTCCATGGCTCAAACGCAGCGTAAGTCCAACGTTATTCCACTTTCCTCAGAACCTCCACACCATATTTCCTCCTCTACATGACTGATAAAGAGGAAGGACGGTTCATATTTGTCAACAAGAGATTCCCCAGCCGACCAGTGGTTAAAATAAAAACATTTTTCTTGGTTTTTCACATGAAGTTTGGTTATGATTTGCAGCTGGAGAGTCCCCTCTGTCCTTGAATGTGATTGGAGTTTTCTGCTTCCTTTAATGACCGCTGTTCTGTTGTGACAGTGTTTGCCTGGGAGGCCTACGAGAGAGGCTCCGAGGTCCATCTTCAGGCTGACCCCACCAAACTGGAGCTGCTTCATCGTTCTTTCAAAGTCAAGAAGGAGGACTTTAAAGAGAAACAGAGAGATAGCATCGTGGAGAGGGTACGCTCCTTCTTTAGACTTTATGTAGTGTTAGTCGAGGTCCTTAAAAAATGTCTCTTTCTGGTTTACTGTCTTGAACTGAATCATATTCCAAGGTCGTTGCACAATATTTATGAGTCATTTGTTACTGGATGTCTTCTCTGCTTATCCACAAAATATTCAGCATAAAAATAAAGAATACTTTAGACTGATTTTAAATGCATCCACTATAATTTTAATATTAACTCTCCTTCTTCGCTGTGCGTCACCAGTATGGGGGCCAGGAGCACCTGGACGCACCGCCGCGGGAGCTGCTGCTGGCGCAGACGGAGGACTACGTGGAGTATTCGCGTCACGGCGCTGTGCTGAAGGGACTGGAGAAGGCGGTCGCCCGCTCCAAATACGAGGAGGATGTCCTCATCAACAACCACACCGTAGGGGCAATAGAACTTTTGTTTGATTTAACGCTTTGCTGTTTTATTTTTTACACTGTTGTTTTTTTAGTATTGGTTTGATTTATGTTCTTGCAGTGCATATGGGGCTCCTACTGGAAGGATGGCTGCTGGGGATACAAGTGCTGCCACTCATTGGTCAAACAGAGTTACTGCACAGGACAAGCAGGAATTAAAACGGTAATCAACAAAAATGTTTACATTTAGTAAAAAAAGAGAAACGCTTTCTATCAATCCCACTACTTAGTGGGAGTAATAGCTTGTGTTAAAGTCTTTATTAGGTTTATTTGAAAGATATTAATGTATAAGACTTAACATCCGTCCAGATAACTCCTCCACACATTGAGGAAGGGCTAAAAAACCTCATTGCTATTGAAGCTGCTTGGTCAGACTGCCTCATTAAAGTATGTTGATTGGAAGAAAAGGGTTGTTGACAATATAATACACTGGCAATATGTAGCACATAAACAGAGCTTAGAGAGGAGTTTGAAGCAAATCCCACAGAAGAGATATTGGAGGATTGGACTGCCAAGCATTAAAGAATTCCTGTTTTAATGTGAACATATTTCCAAAGGTACCAGAACCATGGTCAGCAAACTGACCAACCTGAACCCCATAGCGAAGCAGTTCTGAAGAGGAAGATGAGATTCAACAATTTAAATGATCTAAAATCTGCTAGTATCGTAGGGAAGTCATATTTAAATGTCAAATCATTCTGGCTTAAACATGTATATAAATGTACTCTTTACCAGACAATATTGTCCCAGAAATTTGAACATTT